TTTGCAGGTCCTACTAAGTAATATTATGAAAGAAAACAAACTCATAAACCCAAACCTGTTACAACACTCTGTTTCACAGAAACTACATAATCATATTGCCTCATCACGTGCAATGTGCCCTATTTCTTCCTATCTATGACTGTGTTAACACATAGAAATTCACATTATAGTCTTTTCCTAAGTTTATCATGGTCTTTTAATTAATAGACTAGCTTTCAAAGCTGATTTTTTTTAAAATTATACTTGAAGTAGATTCTGCAGATTTCGTGAATCAACATCTTCATCTCCCTTACTTCTTCTCCCCATTTCTGCCAGTTTTCTGGCATGCCATACTCTTCTATTTACTCCTCAAATGAGGGGCTGCCATTATCTGACTGCATACAGAATCATTCATGGGGTGGGAAGCTGGATGACGTGCTGCATGGTGGTGGTAAATATCTCCTTTTCAAACTGGCAACCTGTCATTAATGGGGTCCCTCAAGGATTGATATTGGGCTCAAAAGCTGTTCAGTGTGTTCATAAGTGATCTAGATGATGGGATCAAGAGTACCCTGATAAAGTTTGCTGATGATACCAAACTGAATGGGAAAGTAGACACTTTCAAAGGGACAGCCACCCTGCAGGATGACCTGGATAGGCTGGAAGACTGCAATAACAAGAACCTGATGAAATTCAAGAAGGAGAAAAGTCTTGCACCTGGGAAAACATAGTCCAAGAGTGCAGCACAGTATGGGATCTACTTGTCTGGGGAACGGCTCTGTGGAAAGCGACCTGAGGGTTCTGGTGGACAACAAGCTCAACAGGAGTGAACAGTTTGCAGCTGTGTCAAAGAAAGCCAGCAGGATGTGGGTTACATCCACAAGGCATCACCAGCAGAGACAAAGAAGTCCCACTCCACTCAGCGCTTGTCAGGTCACATTAGGAATACTGTGTCCAGTTTTGGTCCCTGCTATACAAAGAAGATGTGGACACATTGGAAAGGGTCCAGAGAAGGGCCACAAGGATCAAAGGACTAGGAAGCCTGCTGTATGAGGAAAGGCTGAGAAAGCTGGGGTTGTTTAGCCTTGATAAAAGAAGACTTAGGGAGGATTTTATCACCATGTTCCATGTTCATAGGGTAGCTATGAAGAAGATGGAGACTCCCTTTTTATCAAGAGTCACATGGAAAAGACAAAGGTTAATGGGCACAACCTACTCCTGGGGACATTCCAACCAGGAACCAGGGGAAACATTTTTCACAATGAGAGCAATCAGCCATTGGAATAATCTCCCCCAGATCTGGCTGGACAGAGTGCTGGGACATCTAGTCTAGGTCATGGTTGGACCAGATGATCCTTGAGGTCCCTTGCAACCTGGTATTCTATGATTCAACAAAATCAAAATTCTACTTCTAAACATCCTTTTCATAGCGAGAAACTCCACTTTATTTAAGCGTGTGTGGTTTCTTTCAGCTAATTACAGTTTGGTGTTATTGCTGGAAGGACTACATCAGTACTACAAAAATATTTCACACCAAAAGCATAAGTAGTCAAACAGAAAATATATTTCTGTTCTCTCATCGTAAATAATAAAAATACCATAAGATTAATTCAAAGGCAATACACAAAGCACTTATGATACACTAATGATAATATCAACTAACCAGTTTTTTTTCCTTAGTAATTCCCATGTGAAAATCCATGGGACTAAATCCTCACAATCCACTCACTTTATCGTGTCCCACACACAGATGTTCCCTTCAGGGAGATTACCTGCACGCAGACCAAAGAAAGCTATTTCTGAAGTTGTGTCTCAAGCCACATGGCGAATTCCAGAATAAGGTACACAAAAAGAAAATCTCAG